GTAAACAGATGAGCTTCTCAAAACAACTGACGCCAAATCACACAATGATTAAAAACTGCGGGTAAACAGCTGGCTTCAAAATAAAAGCCTTAATCCTTTTAGGAAAATGCCAAATTTGACTAAATATACAAATGCCAGACAGCAAAGTGGTAAAACTTTACCCCACATAAGCAGAAATGTCCTGAACAGCAAGAGATCAGTTCAGTTCCCAGCTGGAGACCATTTGCTGCTCTCACGTCTTTTTTTTTTCCCCCACATTATCCATCTTTCTCTTCTGGGCATCAATCGCTTCAAAATGTCTGAACAACAACCTTAAAGTGTGAGTAGAAACACAGACTATCTTCAAGGATACTGAGCACCAGGGCAATCAGAGCCAGCAGGGCCATCCCCACTCTCAGGTGGCCTATCCGGTACTCGTCCTGGGTCTTGGCCAGTCTGTAGGTCAGAGCCGACTGAAGGCACACGAACAACATACTGGAGGGGAAGGCGACTCCAGCGCCGACGTAGTGGAGGACTTTGGCAAAATCCACCTGAAAGACATGAAGATAAACGTAGAAGATATTCAGTGGATCAAGCAGGAGATTTCAGATGTGGTGCAGGTAAGAAGAAGAGGGGTTATGTAGAGTAGACAGTACCAAGAACAAAACAAAATAATAAAAAATCTGAAAAAATATGTCAAAAAACAGTAGAATGCTTTATTACTCAAACACTAAAAAAAAAAAAAAAGGAAAAAGAACCCAGCAAATACCTGTGAAATAAATTCTTTTTTTTGCTGATATAAATTCAGTACAACTTGTGCAAATTTTATGGTTAAATTATTGCTATTTGTAAAACTGTTTTGATGTCAACACTATGTTCAGTTTTGACCGATTATATTTTTTAGTTAACTTTCAAATTAATACTTTTTTCCTGCAATTTTACCAAATCTTTCTGTAATTTAACAGAACCAGGAAAATCTGTAAAATAACAGCTTTAGGAATTTTTTTATCATTAAAATATAAATTTCTTTCAATTAACAGCAAATATCTGTGAAATAGTGATATGTTTGTAAAAGAACAAATTACTATTGGTAGAAATTACATTACATACAGTATATTTTAAGCAGATATTATGTACAGTTATGGCCTGTTTTTAAAATGTTATTTATGTATTTTTTTTTACAGTTATCATATAAATAAATGCTTTTTTTCCTGTGACTCAGCTGGATATTGTCTGTAATTTAAGAAAACAGATAAAAGGGTGTTAAAATTACAGTATAATCTGATTTTAAAAAAAACAAACAATTTTTACAGTTGCAACACAAAACTCACTTAAACTTAGTTTTGTTTTTTATTTAAGACAGAATAACCTCATATATTATATACAAGCAACTTTCTTTCATCACTAAGTTTCCAGTTTTGAACTAAGCTATGACCTGCATTACACACGAGATACATTCACAGCCGAAAATACGCTGGTTTTTCTGTTTTTGCTGTTTCTCGCTCTGACAAATGGTGTAATTTTGGTGATTTTATAAAAGGAAACTTGCTTTTTCATCCTGCCTGTGAGCTTTTTTAGGTCCAGAGGGTTACATAGGTCCACTTCTTTGGGTTATGACTAAATACCTGGAAAAACAATCCAATCCGCTTCACTTATATTTCGTGTTTAGCACTAATTAGCAAATGTCCACATGCTGAACTAAGACGGAGAGCGCTGTTAGACGTTTAACACTGTTTACAGGATAAGCTTTATTGACGTGTAAAACATTTGCATTACTGATAAAGACACTGATATCTCCTCATATCCTTCTAAACAGTTCAAACATCTTCTCGGTGCAGAACCTGAGCAGACAAACACACAGGGATCCTCCTGACCTCACACTGCTGCTGTCGGTGTTACAATATTAGATAAAGAGCGTCACAGAACAGGACAATCTGCACCAGAAAACTCTGATGACACTGATTTACAAGCCTCCATCATTATCCCCGTCAGCAACCATGTCAGTGTGAACTCACAGCTTCCCCAGTCACCTGCTACTGTCCTCCAGCTTCAGCATCTTTAGCAGACCCACTTTATCTTTTATCATTTCCTGAATGTTTCCTGTATTCTGCCGGAGCCCACACGCATCACTTCAAATGCAGCAGCTGGTACGATGATGGCGACACATCCTGAGAGGTGCATTATGGGAGCAGAGCACAGCTGTTTGAGCCGTTTAATTACAGGGACGAGACAGAGAGAAGTTGTGTGTGTGATTATTCTGCACAGAGCATGTGGAGCTCTTTGTTCATGTCTGCTGCCCTGAAAATGACAAGTTTTTTTTTTTTTTTTACAGGCCGCATCGAATTCAGAGCACAAATTAGAGCAATGATTCAATAACAGTGCTGGAGGGAAACCAGCGTGTTGGTGCTGTGACGGTTCAAAAAGTCAAGTTTGAACAGATTGAATGTGTAATTTTCACAAGTAAAGATGCGGCTGTACAGTTGATATTACTGACATTATACTTTTGTCTTTTTTTTTTTCTCTCTTTTTTTTAGTTAGACATGGTAAAAGACTTACCAAATAAGTTCATACAACACCAGATAAAATGCAATAATCAAGTAAAGAAAAGAACAAGTGGAATAAAAGAAAATAGAGAGAAGACAAGGCTAGAAGTAAAAAATAATAACAGTAGTAATAATTAATAAATAAAGGGTAAAAGAAAATAAAAAGAACAAATTTTTAAAAAGAACATAAAGTGGGTCTATAACGATGGGTTTTAAGAAGAAGATGAATCCCTTTTAACCAAAAAAAATGTAAATGTTCTCTGATTCCAGCTTCTTAATGTGAATATTTTCTGGTTTGTTTCCTCCAACCAGCCTTTCTCACCACAACACAGGTCACAAATAATGTTTGTTTCAAAATGTAAACAAGTAAATTAATAAACTGTAAAAGAGAATAAACCGAAAAAATTAAATAATACAATAAAATAGAGAACTAAAGCAAGTTTATAAAAATGGATTTTGAAAAGAAGACAATCAGGTAATTTACATGATCAAACTATCTTCAGATGAGAAACTGGAGAAGTTTAATTCTCATTTTGAACTAATTCCATCCAAATGAACCAACATACTTTGCCAAACTTTCAGCTCAAAATAAATGTAAATATATATTTCTTTTCATTCATATGTATATTTAAATATCTATTTCTATTTCAAATGTTATTTTTTTTATTATTATCATTGTCTATTTTTAATCATCTCATTTTTAAAACTCTATTATTTTTCATTTAATTCTCTTTAATCATTTATTTATTTAAACTTGAAAAATGATGTAAAGAGAAAACGCACACGAGGAAAATCTTCAATTCCAGCTTCTTAAATGTGAATATTTTCCTGTTTTGTTGCCTTTTCTGCCACGTCATAGGTCACAAATCACGTTTATTCCCAAACTAAACGACACGTCCTTGAACACACATTTAAGGCTGTACTTTAGTTGTATGGGAAAGTAACTCTGCGCCGGAATAAGACCATTTTTTCCAACGTAAACACCAACACAAAAGCAAAATGTGGACTTAATACAGTGAACAAACTCCTACAGGAAACTTCTCTTCATCTGAATCATTCGTGATTCCTGAAACTGTGAGATATAAACAGCGTTTGCGTTGTTTATCGCCGAGCAGATGTGGTGCTGATGCGACGCACGTTTCTCCAGAACATCACCCAAAGGTTCCTGCCATGTTTACTCAAACACTGAGGCTCATTATGTAAGACGGAGACGGGGGGGAGGAGGGTCCCGCAGCCAATCAGCAGCCAGAGCAGGGCCCCATCTAATTGCTGGATGAAAGACACTGAAACTGAACTGTGCCTGGTGCCCCCAAAATGTATCTGAAGGGGCCCAGATGTGAGCAGCAGTAACGTGAGCCGCCGGCCTCCCCGCAACACGTGCCTGAATATCAGCTCTTATATCTCAAAACACAGGCCAGGCGGCGGGAGAAGTATGCAGATCTTTGACTTAAAGCAGCTGTAATCCATCTCTGTAAGGTTTATTTAAGCTGCAGTCAAAGAAAAGTGCTGTTTTGAATTTGAATTTTTCTAGATTCCATCGGCTTGAAATGACACTTTGTCTCTTAACTGGTCTGCTAATTTGAGCAAAAGGTCAAAAATGAGCTTTATGGCACCTTTAGCAGTCTGATGTTCACGTTTCTTCAAGGAACGTTGAGTTATTTGTGTGATTATTCTACAGAAAGCATGTGAGAATTCTTTGTATGTGTCTGCTGCAGCAAAAAAGACAAGTTTTTTGCAGCTTGTATCAACTTCAGAGCACAAATTCCAACAATGATTCAATAACAGTGTTAAAGGAAAATCAATGCATTGATGTTTTTAATATTCTTTTTTTGTTATAAATACCTACAGTTTTGCACCTGCATTGTTAATATCTGCAAATTTGGCACCTCATTTCTTCAATCAGCACGATTTGCACGTTCATTGCACGTTCTTTTGTACATTGGTCTTTAAAAAAGTCAAGTTTGTACAAATTTAACACGCAAATATGAGGTTTTTTGCTCCTCCAGCAGGGTGACATTTGCATTTATTCAAAGAAGTTTGAGTTATTTTTGTCATTATTCTACAAAAAGCCTGTGAAAACTCTTTATTCGTCTCTGCTGTAGTGACAAAATGACAAGTTTTTTGCAGTCTGCGTCCACTTCAGAGCACACATTTTAAAAATAAATCAATGATTCAATAACGGTGTTTTTATATATATATTTTTAACTGTAAACACCTACAATTTTGCACCTGCATTGTTAATATCCACAAATTTGGGACCTCATTTCTTTGACCGGCACAATTTGCACATTTATTGCAAGACATGGTCTTTAAATAAAGTCAAGTTTGAACAAATTTAACATACGATTTGTTTTTCAAAGACGAGGCCGTACATTTCTGTTAAATTACACTTTGTGCCTTCCACTGACAGTCTATCAGCAAAAACGCAAAACTAGGTTTATTGCTCCTTTAGCAGTCTGACGAAGAAGAAGTTTGAATTATATTTGTGATTATTTGACAAAAAACATCTTTGTTTGTGTCTGCTGCAGTGAAAACGACGAGTTCTTTGAAGGCTGTGTCCACCTCAGAGCACAAAGTACAACAATGATTCAACATAGGTGCTGGAGGACAATCAACGTACTGGTGTTATGGCAGACGTTCTTTTTTAAAAAGTCAAGTTTAATCAAGTTTAACATGCAGAAAGCATGTAAACACTCTTTTTTCGTGTCTGCTGAAGATGAAAAGGAGGAATGTTTAGCAGGGATTTATCAAGATGGCGTTAAAAATGCATCCTAGAAAGTCTGTTTTGTTGCCAGTTTTGTTTCCTATAAACTTGTTTTATTGAGTTGAGTGAGTGAGCTGCTCATTTATTGAACTCATTATTTCAAATCAAAGTACCTAAAGTTAGAGGACTCCTGTTGTCTAAAGTTGTCCAGAGGACAAAAAACAAAATGACAATTTAGGTTCTATTTTAACTACAAATTTACAAAAGTCTTACATTTACATGAAGCAAACTAGAAAACATGAGT